GGTGATAGAGACAGGGAATGTATGCGGCGTAACCTGTGTTATCACCGGGGTGTGGTATCTTGTGTACCCCCGGTGATAAATCATGGTCTGAAAAATACACCCAAAATTACCACCGGGGTGTGGTATTGTGGGGGGGGTGTGGTATCTTATGAGGGTGTGGTATCTTGTGTAGAATACGGTATGTGCCGGGTTTTTCGACCACAGACTCTTCATTTTCTTGGGCTAGTCTATAGAGAGAGCTAACGTGAGAAACAACAACAACAACTACAACAACAACCCCGCTCTACTCTCCCCTCCTGCGGTACTAGGGTTATTCACTAGGCCAGCAGCGGGAGCGAGAGAAAAACTCACTTTGCAAGAACCCTCGCTCACGCCGGGATTCGAACCCCTGACCTGACCTCTAGTCTATCTAGAAGGTTTCGAGGATACTAACTGGCCGAGTCAAGTGATGGATTAGTACGGAGAGATTGAGACAGAAGGAGGTACTGGATAGAGAGACCGGGATGGTTTTTAATGTGAAGACAACAACAACAACAACTAGACGACCGGGGCGACTGGGGTCCAGTCTGATCGCGCCGGAATCTTCTTCTTGGCGACAGTCCATGTGTTTCGCCCCCCCCCTCGTGTGAAATAGCTTCTCGAAGGCTCTACTGCTGGGGGGTAGTGGGCCCTTCTTGCTGTTATGGTGCGTCCAAACCAATGCTGCCCCTATCGCGCGCTACTATAACAAACAAGGCAGAGCAGCGGCACCACATCAACAAACTCAACTCGGGGTCCCGCAAGGGTCCTCGCAAACGGGACCGCAGTACCACCGCTGTTTTTCTTCGAACATGGGGCAATCAATTTTTGTTCGGAGAAAAGAGAAAACGTTGTTCAGTGCTGTTGTTCTCTCAACGCCGCTGCCGTTGTCTGTCCACACACCACACACTGCCTGCTGCTACTACTACCACTGAGAGAACCCTCCTATCAGCGTGACACTCATCGCTCGTTCTTCAAGGGACCTCATCAGGCATCAGGTCTTGAGGTGAGCCTACCGCGCCTTGTAGCTTGGTTTTGACCGCACGCATACGACAGCGGAAGAGGAGGACCCTGAATCATCGCCTGTCGGCGTCCATCATGAGATTTTGTGTCTTGGGAGCAGGCGCACGCCGCCTCTCACGCCTCTCTCTCCTCTCACGGGCCAACGGCGGTAGTAGCAACCGTCAGCTACAGGAAAAGAAAGCGTTTATCAGGTAATCGATCTCTTTGAGATGTTGGTGATGGGATGCTCTCTGGTAGACAGTGTCTGGACTATTTGCTGGGCAAAATCCCAAAAAAAATTCCAGGTGTCGTCCTGAAGTCGGGCTTTTGGCTGTACTGCTGTGCCGCCTGGATACATGTGAGTCCACAGACAACCCGTGTAGCTGCACACGACACAAGACACCGGCGAAGTCTGCAAAGATCAGTGGACACGGTACTCAGCCACGGGGCAACAGCGGAAGACTTGACTTTCCTTGCTCTGTGCGTCCGCGCTTCCAGCAGCAAAGCCGGGGTGTTGTCTTGGTTGATTGTTGGCGGTGTGATGTCATGACCCAGCCGTGTGATGTCATGACCCCTGACAAACCATCTATCTTCACAACCACCCCCTTGCCCCGAGTGAAAGAACTGTTTGGTGTGGTGTTCGGCCAGTCAGAGCAAACACCACCTTTTCTACGCACAAGCGTTCATCAAACGGCCTCGTTTATCAAAGCAGCCAGTGTGGTTGGCCAGCCCTTCTTAAGCAATCTCAATCTAATCTCGGCCCGCCACAAAAAGCACGCGCCGTTTTTTATGCCGAGTCTCTTTCGCACGAGGACCTAGTTGTACCTCCAACAACAACCGCCGTTGGTTGATCGGCATAGCAGCACGCACGGTACGGAGAAGGGATATTGATAACTTATCCGCTCGTATTACCGACCCTGGCTGGCATGAATTCATTTGCCCTCTCTTCATCAACTTTCCGCACTTACGACACACGAAACCCGGGCTACTGGTGTAGACCTGTACAATGGTTCCTATGTACGTATCTTGAAAGATTCGGCGACTTCCCTCTGGTGGGTGTAGACTAATGATGCCTACATTTTTTTTTTTCTCCCATAATTGGACTCTGTCGGCTGCCCCTCTGGCCCCTATCCTCCACCTCTACTAGCTAGACGACCCAACCGGGGTCACACAGGAGGGGGGGGCTGGATCCCCTCCTGCGGTGTACATCAGTGGATCATGAATTTGGTTCGGTTTGTTTCGTTGTGCACGAACGTATGCATACGCATACAGTACAAGTATCAGAGTGCCTAGTGTCAGGTAGGCTACGTTGTTGTTTTTGTAATGATGATGTGGAAAGACCGTTCCGATCTCTCTGCCCGGCACCTTAATCTGTCCGTACTGATCATAACACTTGCCGAGCGATTCCCGCGGTAACTCACATAATATGGCATACACTCTAAAAAGTATATATATATATATGTTTTTATCATGGATCCGGAAGGGCCCGCAAGCCAATTATTTCACAACGAGAAAGGTATGCATAGAGGCTATTATTGTTTGTGCCAACGTGAAACTTTTTTCTTTGAACTGGTGCCGGGTAGAGGCCAGGCAGCAGAGCGATTTTGCACGTCAATACCACAACAGCAACGAACACATGCATTATAAGTACAGTGTAGAGAAGCAAAAAACGAACGTTGATTTCGGGGTCCTTTTCTCCTTTCTTCGTCGCCACTTTGTTGCCACCATCGAGCGCGGAGGTTATCGCGGCTGTAGATTTTTGTGCAGGATCCTCCATTGGGCCCTCGTGTTTCTTGGGTCTCTTCCCCGCTTTCTCCTGTTTTTCGTGCGAGCCAGCCTCTCTGCTGCTGCGCCTTAAACAACGGGAATAAACGATTTGATTGTGGGATCGTAATTCGAATTTTAGAGATGTAACATGATCACCCCCCTCCTCCGGCTCTCCCTCCACCACTCGTCCGTCGACAGCCAGCCTTCTACAGCAGGCGAAACCAAACCAGCCCCCCCTCCCCAGCTTTCCGGCTGAAAATCGCGAACAATAAAGAATGGTTGGGCGTCCAGGAGGCAGCCGCGCACGGTGGGCCGTCGTGGCCTTGGTAGCGCTCTCGGCTGGGTGTGGTCGGGTGGCGACCGCGACTTCTACGAGTGTGGATCTTATCGACCTTTACCCGGATTGCGAAGGAGAACTGGACCATATCGGGGACGGCTACTGCGACGACGCGACGAATAACCTTGAGGAGTGCGGCTTCGATGGCGGTACGTTGGTGACTTGTGTGTTCAATTGTTCCTCCCGCCCTGCATGTTGCTTTCGATCCAAATACGCATATTCGTTGTCTTAACTATCCACCCGAGGCATCACCTCATTTACAGCTCGTCACCCATGAAGGGAAGCCCCTCCCGAAATAAAAACGCCTGACAGCACCCAACCGGTCCCCCCGCTCCGGTGGAAAAACCCGGCGTGCTCCGTCCCGGCTTTGTAGGGACGCGAGGTTAATGGTCTAACGACTACTTTGGCTGTAGGGTATGAGTACACCCCCTCCCTCCCCCGCAGTAGCCTTGGCGAGGACAAAAGCTTGGGTTTTTGGCAGGGGGGCGTCATTTGTTTAGGTTAGCGTTATGAAACTCCCAGCTCTATCATGGATTTCTATCCTGGCAAGGTTGGTGCCTCCCTCGCCGGGTGGGTTGCATGCGGAGCGACCTCCTGCCCCCTTGTAGTCTCTGTCAGGTATCACCTTAAATAAACAGTGTTGCTATTGTAGTGGCGAGGGGGATCGGTCGCCTGAATAACGGCTCCCGCGAAGGGCGATCTCGATTTTTTGTGTTTTTTGTTTTATGTACCCCCTTTTTCCGTGACGTGCAAGGACAAAAGGTTTCTCGGAAAACATCGTAAGCGGGACACGCGCCACGGTTGATCCGCGAAGAATGCCAGACGCTGCAAGCGAACTTGGCTGCTGGTGCAGCACCGCCGTCTCTCTGAACACTTGCGATGCAACCGTGCGCATTTGTTTACCTCCGTCCCTCGCAAAGTGCACTGATATATAGAACAATAATGCTCCGTCCCCTCGAGGACGCGTCGTCAATGGCCAAAGGCGTGCTAAACATGAGTATTCCCCCCAAAAATGACAGAAAACTCCGGTGTTTCACATCCTCTTGTTGATCCCGGCGGGTGCTTGAATTTTGTTACCGGAAGGCGTTGGAGTGGAGACCAGAACAGACGGGATGAACACAGACGCACACGAGGGGAGTACCATCCACTTCAGACAAGAAGAGCAAACAAATCACTCTCGCGCATTTTTTTTTTTTTTTCGTGATGTGAATGAATTGGGAATTGTGTTTCAGGCAGATGCCGGTGAGAGTCTCAACCACGCCATCAGAGCCGAGGACCAAAAAAAAAAAACGACCGATAAATCACCCGACGACCGATAGTGCGCAATATCGGCAGCGCGAATGATTGCGTCCCCAAAACTGAAAGAATCAAAAGACACACACACACAACCTGTGTTTTTTGTTGCCTTGTTGATGCGTGATGCCTGGCAAGTACCATTTCACCAGCGATATTTTTATCAACCCTCGGTTGCCGACTCAAACCTCCGAATATGTCATTTATTTTTTTACTCCGCATGGGCAGGCGACTGTTGCGAGTGCGATTGCGTAGTACCAGCGGACGCTTCGGAGGACCAGCTGGCCTACAGCTGCGTACAGTTCTCCTGCGACGACACCTCCTCGGCGTGCTACGTCGTGCCGGCGCCGACTCCGACTCCGGTGGCTGCGTCAGACGACGGGGACACGGTGGAAACGGCCGAGAGTGCGGCAACGACGGCGACGGCGGCGGCCATCTCGACTACCGCCGCCGCGCTTGCCGTGACGCTCATCTCCGGAGCTGTGGCGTTTGGGTAGTAGCGGCAGAGGTGTTCTTCGTGCGGGGTCAGCCCGGATGTGGGACCTTCCTTACTTCTGTGGGCTTTGCCACAGAGTGCTGAGCGAGAGTCTGTCGCTGCTCTACATGCGACCCTCCCTCTGTGGGCTTCGCTAGGATGCCGACCGAGAGAGAGAGGGGGGGCGAAGCTGTTTTTTCCCGCTGCCGGCGTGCGCGGGGGGCCTGGCCGACGGCCACCCTTGGGTGTTGAGGCGGTGTGGCGGAGGAGGAGGCGTGTCCATCGCGGGGGGCGGGGTTGTGGTGCCTGGAACTGCGGGGTGGTTACCCCAGGGCGGGAGCGGGTGGGGTCTGATTTGCTTGAGCAGCACAGGCGGTGCGGTTGACAGTCCACTGCTGCTCGTGTCTGTGGAGTTGTCCTTCTTTTGTGGCCGCTCTCTTTTTCGGAGGAGGCGTGGTGTTTAGATGGTGATGATGTCGTCGTAAATGCTGGACGAGTTGCAGGGAAACGTGGTGCTTGCACGCAGGAGGGGTATGGTTCCCTACGCTGCAGACGCCGATCCCGATCGGGACCACGCGCGTGCGTGCGTGACTTCAGTTCGCGGAGTGAACGCACGTTTTGTATTTCCAGGTGGAAGCGTGTTGTGTAAGCTGGGGTCGGGGTTCGCGATGCCAAGAACGGGGCGAAGAAAAGTTAGAAGATTATGCCGGTCGGTGTCTTGAAATAACAAAGTAGCCTGCTGTCGAGAGACAAAATATGGGATAATTTTTTTTCGAAAGGAGACTTTCTCTTGGTCGATTGTTGCAGCGGACGTTTTGGTTCGGGGGGAGCAATCTCATATCTGCTACCAGCGGGGGGTCGCTCCCTCTCTGTAGGACATTAGCTCGTTTGTTTCGTCAGGGACTCTGGCGGGAGGTGTATTTTTTTTCGAAACTTTTGCTGGGGGTTGGCAGCGGCCCGTTTCCCAAGCATAAGGACAAGGGAGTGGTAGAGGTAACCCCATGGTGTGAGTTTCTGAGGATCTAGGGGCAGTCGCCTGCGGAGGGAGGCGGGGCTGTGGATCTTCATCGGCGCCCAGTAACTAGCGGGGTTGGAAAAAGGAGCGAGAGAGGCAGCGCACGTAGTCATCAGCGCAATAGATACGGGAATCATGTCTCCGGGTGGTATATGTCCATTTTTGTGATCCTTGGCAGATAGGTCTTGACGAAAGCGAACGGCGAAGGGTTTCCACAAGCCGGGTGGCGTTTCGTTTCTGTTGCTGCGGCGCGGGATAGCGAAAGGCGCTGGTGCTATGACCACGCACGCGATATTCTCCTTCCTTTGCTGTAGGGGGGAGGGATGAGAGCAGAGCAGATTCCAGTCTTCCTTGTGTGAGGTGGAGTTTCCAAAGTCTTCTTGTGGGAGGTGAGGTTTTCAAATTGCTGTCTGTTACGGTTGGTTGTTGTGGTTTGTCGTGTTTCTTTTGTTCTTTGTTTTGCCGTGTTATTGTCGTGAAAAGGTCAGCTCGTTTGTCGACCGTCGCTTCCAGTCTTCGCCTGCCGCCCGGTCTAGTTCATCCGAACAGCCCTGTGGTTTCCGCAATGGGGAGCGGTTCCTTCCGTGAAGCATTCCAGCGAACGAAAACGTTTCACGTGGGGGAAAAGGCAGTGCTTTTTGTTAGTGGTTTCGCGTCCGTAGGCGTGCTCCTTTCCGTTTTCCAGTTCCAAGACGATGAATTATTTTTCCTGTCAAGAGTCTTGTTTTTCGCCGCTGCTGTGCAAAGAGATTTCAATTCGAGAAAGAAATGTCTGGTAATGAACGACGGGCCAAGAAGAATGACCACGAGATCTAGCTTTTCATGGATGCCCTTTGAGACAAAGGACATCCGCACATTCCCTGCTCATTCAAAACCATGTAGACTACGGCGCTGAAGTCGACGTCAGGCTAGTACTTCATGAAGGAGTGTTGAGGGGGACGCTAGCTGGCGCTAGCGCTCGGGTTGCTATCCCATGATTTGTCGCAGGCATGGATGAGAGTCGAGGGCGACGTGGACAGGATATTTTTGGTTGTAATAGGCGTGGTACGCCAAGCTGATCGCCGTCAAAGTCCGAGACGCTGCTGGTGGCCTTGTGCCCTGAACCCGAGGCCTGGTGCCCCGCGATCTCCTCAAAAAGAGCCCTGCGCACGTAGGTACCCCGCCCGACAGTAGTCTGCTGGTCGCCACCCCAGCCCCGCGCCCAGTCAATCTCTTTGAAGGAGACCAGGGTGAGACTCACTCTCGTTTTGAATAGGTAGCCCGTGACTGTGGTTACCCCGCAGGAAAAAGTGGGCCGCGAAATATCCTTGCGTCTTGCGTGGAGTGCTTGCAACACTTCCTTGGTTGGGTACTACTGTAGTATAGCAAATCCAACCTGAACCATCGTTGCTGTGAAACTTTTTGTCGTCTCACTTCGATTAGGTGCAGCTTGTTTCTGGGCTTGATGGGGCATTTTTGATGGAGACGATTCTTTCTGCATGCAGAGACCATCCATCCTTCGGGGGGCATCCATCGGCCCGTATTGCTCCGTAGATAGTTGGGGCACCTCGTTGGCTCGATTAGCCTGCTCGCTCGGGGTCACGGGAAGTGGCACTGCTTGGGTGTTTGTTGGAGAGGATCTTGCTCTCCGCGCGAGTGAGTGAGTGGGGATGTTATGGAAATCATTCACACATAGATATAATCGCCCCCTGTCTTGCTGCACCCCCTGGGGTGTGGTGCAGGGCGGGGGATGCCTGGTCGGCGGGCACCCGGCACGGAACCCTCCGGCGTTGTAGGCGGGTGTGGGAAGCGTTCCCCGTTCTCCTTTTATTTTATTTTGATCGGTCTCCTCGACGCTCTTTCTCGTTTGGTGCGGTAGCTGGTCTTTCTTTCTATCATTTTGTTTCTCTTCCGAGTGGTTTTTGTACCCTATTTTTTTCTGTTTCTTCGTGGGGTCGTGTGTGCCGGGTTTTGAGACCACGGGCTCCCAATCTTTCTTTTTTTAGAGCTAATGTGAGAAACAACAACAACAACAATAATACGTAGGTAGGTGCTCTGCTTGATGTTGTTGGCTTCTTCGATGCGACTCATCAGACTGGGCTATATCTCGAGTGGCTAGTCTTTCTGTGTGTGTATATTTTTTTTCCTTTACCTTTCAGAAGAAGGGTTCCTTTGTCTAAAACACATGCAGCATCCAGCTTCTTGAGAGGAAAGCGATCGCTCGTGTTCCTCCGAGTACATGCACATATTTTTGCCTACGTTTCGTTTGCGTTTCTCGTGGATGGTTTTCGTAGGGGGGAGGCCAAGCTTTCTCTCTGCTTTCTAAGTCCCCGTGGGTCACCTTCTTTGAACTTTGCTTCAACGTACAGTACGGTTGTTGTACGTGTTGGCTCCAGAATAATTGGGTTCGTGATATTAGATTCGTGTTCACGGGAGAGCGAGACACACATACATAGGGGTACCACAGCACCACCACTTCACTGCCCTTCTCGGGTGTGGGGTGCGAGATATATTTTGTCTTGTACATGCATGCCTGTGCTCCTCCTTTGGTTCGCCATCATTACTGCGTACAATGATCTGCCGGAGTGTTGCTTGTTAGTTCACGCGAGACCTGTATGTATGTAGTCTAGGCATTGAACACGAGTAGCTTGTTCGGGAGATCGCCGTTGTGCACAATCAACCAATTCGTCTCTATTCGGCCTCCTTCTTTGGGCGGTCGGGCCCCTTGGTCCGCCGCTAGCCATCTATTGTTGGCCATCTCGTTTGGCGTGGTCCGGCGGGATGAGATCACCCGCTACTCCAAAAAAGTTGCCGGCAATCAATGTGCTGCACGAGGGCTTCCTTTCTTTCGCACATTGATTGTTGAAACCAAGGCGACGGATGAATATCGTCGGCGTTGCTGTGCAGGTACGCATGTAGACTACGGATGAACTATGGAACGACGACGGCGTTTCGCACCGCCTATGAGAGAGAGACAGACAGACAGACACAGACCGAGACCGAGACAGAGACAGGTCGTTTCGCTCATCATCAGCTTTATCGCTTTATCAACCCTCTGATTCTAGTCGTTGCCGCACGTCGACCTACGTATGTATGTACGGACACACGGTGGGGTGTGACGGCTGCATGTGATGCCGACTGGCGACAACGTGGCAACAACATGACGCGTATCTCGCACCCGTATTCTTGAGTGTGGGAACTCTTCGCTCGGACGACTGCTGTGCACCCGTTTCATTTCGCTTCGCTGCTCAACGTCACCTACTCCAGTCCAGCAGTGCCTGTCTGTGTGTGCTCTCAACCGCCCACTTCTAACCTATAGTCTAGAATGTCGCAAGACGACCATCAAACGTGTGCGCTGCCCTCCTCCACGCCTACCGCTGTATGTATCCATCATCGCAATCAGCAACAGTTTTAACTCGGTCAGCTGGTTCTTTCGGCAATCGCTTGAAATTCCACCCACCATCCATGCGGCCGTTGCCGTAGACCTAACAAATGAGATGCCCACACGTACCCGCATTGCTGGTAGATTGTGGCTGCGGCGGGTAATGATCTGACAAGGAAAAAAAGAGGTGAACTGCTTGTAGATTGCATGAAGATGTAGCTGGTAGATTGTGGCTGCGGCGGGTAATGATCTGGCAAGGAAAAAAAGAGGTGAACTGCTTAATGTAGACTAGTGAAGCCGACGTCGTAACGTTCTGACCCACCGTGCAACCTAGTGAAGCCGACGTCGTAACGTTCTGACCCACCGTGCAACCATGTGAACGCGGTTCGCTGATGAGAAGTGGGACTCGGAAGGAGGCAAGAGCTCCCGACATTGAGAGTGATTCGGCGGGATGGCGGAGGGTACATCGTCACCGCCGTAGAACGCGCGTGCTACATATGGCGGCAGGGCGCAACGATACAACGGTGCTGTCATCGGCTGATTGGGTCACGCAAACGCTCAGATTTTGCAACAATCGATCCAGATCTTCCCTTTCACACGTCCACGTAGGTTTCAGTTAATCTGCCTAGGAATTCCGGCACACACATACAGCCGGTTAGCGCGGTCGATGCTGCAACGCACACATATGTATATAGTCTACCCTTCTTCTACCTGCCGAGAGAAGCATTCGGCACCGAGCGGGAACGGTGCATGGAGCACGCCTGCACGCAGGCGAGTCGAACTATTTTTACTGACTTTCAAGGACCCTGGGACCCCACAAAATTTGTTGTTGATCAGCGGAAACTGTGTAAAACGAAAGGCAGGCTTTTTGCCGCACGCTTGCCGCCCCACGCCTACCGCACCATTGTTCCAGCTCGCCCCCTCTAGACCCACATTGAGGTGCAAGTTTGGAATCATCCGGAGTCACGTGATTTATCACACCGGGGAAGCGCAATGGAGAGCAGGTACCGCTTGCGCCTCTGCTGTATGTAGACCATGAACGCCTTCAGTATGGTTGCGTGATGAGAGGGAGAAATTCGGCTCATTTACTTCAGTTGAGGATCATCGTCGTGGTTAAGCGGCATCTCCGAAAAAATCTGACACCGCGATTACCTACTCTATTCATTGCTGTGGGGGCCGGCCTCGCTCTTGATCTGCTCCTCCATGGCTCACGACAGCAGCAGCGCCTCAGTCGTCAACTGCTCTTGGGGTCTCCCTCTCCCCTCCCCCTCCGTAACCGTTTCTGTTCTGCTTCGTGCTTTTTCGATTTCCGGATTTCCGTCTGTTTGCTTCAGGGAAGCGGCGACTCCGCACGCGAAGAGTAGGCGATTCCTTGCAGTGGCGTTCAACCTAGAGCATCAGCCGGAGCACAGGCTGCGCGTTGGGCAAGCAGCAGCAGCAGGAGGAGTGCAAGCCGCCGGGCTGAGGATTCCTGCTGTGATGAGCGATTACATGGTGCCGGATCCCTTCCTGGACGCGCGTGCTGCTAGTGGTCCGCCGAACGACCTTCGAAAGATGACGGCAACCACCAAACATGCGCGGCACGACAACAACGGCAACGGCGACAGCACCGCTGCTGGCGCCGTCGAAGCCGCCCCCATGGCCGGCGGTCGTGGTCGCNCGCGCGTGCTGCTAGTGGTCCGCCGAACGACCTTCGAAAGATGACGGCAACCACCAAACATGCGCGGCACGACAACAACGGCAACGGCGACAGCACCGCTGCTGGCGCCGTCGAAGCCGCCCCCATGGCCGGCGGTCGTGGTCGCGGGGGGCTGCCATATGGACCGGAGATTGCGGCGGTGGAGCGCCACGGCACCTGGGAGACTCGGCTGAAGGTATGCATGGCATGTATTTATCTTGAAAAAAGACTTGCAGCTTTTCTGGGGTCCGCTCACTCCAGAGCCCGGAAGGTAAATTCTTCAACGAACGAACTTAAACGAACTGATACTGTTCGTTCTGCATGTCCCCCTCCCACCACTTACAGATAGCCCGTACATATGGAAGATGGCAGAGTCTGTTTACCACAGGGAGATGTCACTGTTATGCTTCTCCACAGAGATCAGTAGAACCTAAACTATACTCTCGACGAGACGTTTCCAGCGCCGCCCTTCGGCTCCGCCACTATTTCTTCTATGTGGGGGTGTGGAGTACAAAAATCGAGCTTGGAAACCGGTCCATGAGCCGGCCCACGGGGTGTGATGTCTCCAATGTCGCCTGCGGCGAGTGTCTGGTACATACAGAGGGGTCCTAGTTTAGTGCCGTTATGTGCCCAGAAAATTCAACGGTACTACAGTATTCGAAGTACCGACAATGATTTGGAAATTCAAGTGTGTGCCCGCCGAAAACACCGACCGGCACTAGACTATACTGGGCATTGGCAACACAATACTTAGCCGGCACTAGGGACCCCCTCTTTATGGTTTTGTGTGACGAGCTATACTTGAGTCATGTAAGGCGGCATTGCCTCATCGAAGCATGTTGAGATGCCATCACGAGTGAAACGGTTCAACGAAAGCCAACATTTTTTCGAAACGTGACGTGCTGTTCTATGTACGACAAGCGTTGTTCCGTCCACAGCCAAGTAACGTGGAGTGCTCGAGGCTCACCTATGGAGAGCTTCAGAAACAATTTTTGAAAAACTTAACGGCGACTACGTACGTCGACCCCCTCGAGACAAAAATTGGAAAAACCCGCGCTGTTCTTGGCGACAAGCATCGCCTACTTACCAATGAAAAGACGTCCGTGGTCCTGCTCAACATCCATCCTCGATGGCGGCAAATCGCAACGCGCGCGCACCACTCCCCACCCCGCACAGCAGGCCTCCCCTCTGCGCTTTCCTCGGTCGTCGTCCGCGCTAACGCAGCCGGACACCCCCGGAGGCCCGGCGAGTTTCGTGGCCATCGACGCCGAGACCCCGGAACACGCCGGACGGCGGCAGCAGCAGCAGCAGCAGCAGCGGCGGCGGCGGCGAGCGACTCCGTTCTTGTCGAGAGCGAACGCCGGGCCTAGCGCTTCGTCGGTTTTTGACTCCTTGACCCCTACCGCGCCTGCTTCCAGCAACAGCACCAGGAGCAGCAGCATCAGGAGCGCCGACAGCAGCGGAACCGACGGCGGCAGGAGAATCATCGACAGGAGCAGCGGCAGCAGCAGCCACACGATCGTGAGGTACGTCAGGGGGATCTCCGCGGCGGCGGTAGGCCACGGGGGGCAACAACAACAACATGCCAAGCAGCGGCACCTCGCTGGTAGCGTCGCCGCCGCCGCCGCCGCCACCTCCGGCCGCTCGCCGGGAAGCAGCAAGAGGGGCGGAGCGGCGGCGTTGGGATACGAAGCGGAGGAGGAGGAAGAGGAGGAGGAGACGTTCGCCTCGAACAACCCGATGGTCGACAACAAGCGGCGGAAGAAAGCTCAGCTGGCCCCAGTCGCGGGAGGAGGAGCACGGGAGGATGATGACGAGGCATCGGAGGAGGCGTTTTCCCCGTACCGGTCTCGAAACTCGCCCTCCTTCGGAAGGGGCGG